CCCCAAAACCCCAAAACCCCAAAACCCCAATCCTTACCGAATCCATTGAACAATTTAGCTCAAAACCTAACTTTCGGCTTTTGGCTGACTAAATCTGTACTAGAGTTTAGCCGTAGGGAATTTTGAAGAAGAGGGAATTTAGGAATGAGTGGAAAATTTAGGGTGGGAAGAGGGGGTTGGGAGGGATGGAGAGAGGTTTTTTAGGGGGATTTTAGAGGGAAATTGGGGTTATGAGGGATTTGGAGAAGCTGGAAGAGGTCTGGTAGCCTTTTGAGATGTATACTTGTGGGATTAGGTTCATTGATTCCTTGATTTTATTGTCTCTGACTGTTAGAGTTTTATCCTTGATTTTGACTAATTTCAAGTTTTGTAATAATTTTTCATTATTTAATGCTTTGGTTCATGTTAAAATGTGAGATTTATCTCTTTTCTTCATATCAATGAAGGTTCATCTGTTAAATTCAATTGCCTTTAAAGTATAATCAATGTCTTCTTGTAATTCAAATTCACCTCAATGAAAGAGACAATTAGAAAACTCTAATTTTTCAGAGATGGTTGAAAAATATTGGATAGCGTCTTTCCCATGATTAGCTTCTTCTTCACCCAGGTGATTCATTCTGGCATAAAATCTGAAAAATCTTAGCTTTACAGAGTTTATTTTGAGAGGCTCAATTCCCTTTAAAGTTCGATAAATAAGGGTAAATCATTCAAGAGAATTTGCTGTACTTCTGAGATCTAGAATGTTTAAACTTCTACAAAGATGATCTGACAAGAGGACTAAAACCAGCTCCAGAGACCTTGAGTCAATGCCTGTTATTTTGAGCGAGATAGATTCAGGCAAGACCCATTTATATTTTATAAAAGCATGAATCATTTCCTTAAACATTGAGAATTCTTCATCTGTAGTTAAACTAAATCATAGGTCTGTAATATTTCCATTGAAGTCAAATATAATTCTACTGTTAAAGAATTGAGAACCAGATTTTCTCTGAGATGTCAGCCATTGCTCTAAAGTAGGTGGGAGGGGAGGTTCGAACTCATTACTATCTTCAGGTGGTCTGGTCTATAAAAATAATTAGTCAGGTCTTCAAGCAACCCTAAATTTAGCTTTAGATCCTTTATCTGTTCTTTAGAGTCCTTTCAAAAAATGAAACAACTTTGATTATTGAGATAATGAGAATTCTTTAGAAAAAAAATGGGATCTTATAATTATAAACTAGTATAGCAGAGATGACTTACAATTACTTTAAAATTCTGAATAATCTTAATAGCATTAAGTCTGAGCTCATTAAGTTCATCTATCTTCCTATGCAATTCTCTCATTTCTTCTCGAAGGCTCTCAATTTTATTTGCTTTCTTTTTCTAAATTAAAATTTATGACCAATCCACCAAAATAAATTCCAAACGAAAATTATCATCAAAATGTAAAAGATTTATCCTCAAAATTAGTGATAAAATTTCCAAAAAGTCCCTTTGAAAAGCTTTATTCCCCAAAGTTACCAAAAAATCCACCTCTCAACCCCCCAAACCTCCCATCCCCAAAATTCCCACCCTTCGTTCTATCTCACCTTCCTCCTCTTCTTCAAATTCCTCCTGCTTCCTCTGTTCCTGTTTCCTCATCTCCTTAAGTTGATTCCTAATCTGCTTCCTTGGCTCACTTCCCAATATAGGGAAGTTGGTGCCTTCAATGGTCTCGATTTGGTAGTCTGCTCTACTGCCAGGAAGTGGAATGTCAGTGGGGTTCTAGAAGGAGTTGGATGTGAAGGTTTAACAGTACAGATCCTCTTCTCCAATTACTTTGTGAAGGGGAAAATAAGAGCCAAACTTACCAGTCTGATATCAAGGAAGTTCGAGAGCCCAGGGCCTAGATTGAGAGTGAGATGGGGATAGCTGGGAGGGGAGAAGAGGAAAAGTAAACAATTTAGGAAAGGGGGTTAGGGGAGGAGATTTGGGTGCAGATTTGGAAAGGTTTTGAAGGGATTGAACGTACCTTGTTTGAATATGTAGAAATTTTTACCCCCTTCTTGGATAGGGAGTCGTCTGTTTTGGCTGAGATAGCCTCTAATTCAACCGCTTCCCATTGTAATTCCAAATAATAATTTTCTATTTTTGTCTTTTTCCAGGGGTTTTGGGGTTTTGGGGTTTTGGGGTTTTGGGGTTTTGGGG